ATGAATTGGGGATGGTGTGGTTACGGGCACATTAATTTTATTTATCTCTAAAACATGACAATTGAAATGGCATGCATATTCAATTAACCTTTTTTTAAGAGCGGCTCTAATAATAGCCCTTAAAGTAGGGATATACTTTTGACTTAAGGGTTCCACTACCTTTAGAGGTATTGTTATTTCTAGGCTCAACTCTAGAAAAGACCCCTCATTATTAGTTTTTGCCTCTCTCTTCTATTCCCTCCTCATTGATATTGTAGCGTCAGTGTTGGCTCCATTCCCTATTAGTTCACACATGGCTATTCTAATCCATTAGGCCAGTCTCAATGAGAGTTTCACAGGGATGTCATGCACATTTAATGTGGTGACACATCAGCAGCAAAGGAATTTTTGCATGAAATGGGGAGGAGAGAGAAGGAGAAAGTTTCATCTCGGTGAAACGAGGTCGCATTGTTTCCAAAGTCTTGGTATTCGCGTGAAACCAGCGTTGAGGAAGATCGTTTCATCATCCCTAATCCCGTGCGCGTGCGGAGCTGGCCACCATCGTCCCCATCCTCCCGCGCTGCCGAGGATTCTTCCCTCCCTATACCATCCAGCTCCCACCCCGTCCACGCGCGCAAACCCACCCTGTCCGCCGTCCGCATCCGCCGTCCGCCGTCCGCCATCCCTAGGGTTTAGCGCCAGCGAGCCGCCATGTATCCGCCGCCAGCAAAGCGAGCCGCCACGGATCCACCACCGGCAAAGGAATCCGGGCGACGCCTTCCCGGTAGAGGAGGGAATGCTCACCAACATCGGCTCGGCATGAAGAAGGCCGCCGTGCCTGCGCCACCACTGGTTCCGCCGCTGGCGCCGCCGATTTCGTCCCTAGCTGCGCCGATTGCAACGCCAGCCGCGACGACCCCCACCCCTGCTGCGTCGACTATCGGCCCTGCTGTGCCTAGCTCCTCCTCTACTACACCGACATCCATTGTGCCGCCATGGACACCGCAAGGAGCAGGATGGGGCGCCATTCCCCCAAATTTGGCATCTGCAAACCAACAATGCCCAAATTCATGGTAACCATTTGATTTCAATATGTGCAACTAGTTCATTCTTTCTGAATTTTGTACCAATCTTTCTTTATTTATCTGTGCAACTAGTTCATTCTTTCCATCTGCAAACCAACAATGCCCAATCTTTCTTTATTGTGACTAGGCCAAGCAAACATTTTTTCTAAATTCTGTACCTAATACATAACCAAGTAGCAATACTTTCATTGTTGGCGACAAGAGCCATCCAAGGACAAGAGAAATATATGGAAATCTCCATGCATTTTGTAGTCAAAACTTTATCCTGACCAACAGTCCAACACATGTTCAGGATCTATCCGCCAGGTGGTTTTCTAAATATGATTAATCAATAACAAGTCCAAGGAGAAAATTTTCATTTGGTTGGTCACACTATGACCTTTAATCCAATGTCTCCACCACCACCACCAAATGCGTATGGAACAGGAACTTCCCAACCTGTGAAACAAGGCTCTTCAATAAACAATACGGTGCATATTGACATTGACAAAGAGGAAACCAATGAGGCAAAAAGGGGAGGAAAGAAAAGATTTTGGACTCACGACGAGGAAACAAGACTGGTAATCACTGATCACTTTTTTTCCTTTTTGTAGACCAGTGTTTGGTACAATACTTGATTTGTTCATCTTTTTTTATTTCGTATTTTGTAGGCCAGTGCTTGGTTGAATGTTTCAAAAGACCCAATTAGGGGTAACGACAAGAAATTTGATACATTTTGGAAAGAAATCACTGAGGAGTTTAACAGGAAAGGGGATGTGAAGCCTAGAAGAGAAATAAACCAATTGAAGATTCACTGGTCACGCCTCAAGTCCTCGATCACTGATTTCAATGACGCTTGGACTCAGATAGCTCAAATGCATACAAGCGGATACTCGGACGACATGTTAGAGGAAGAGGCACAAAAGGTATATGAAACCAGGTTTGGAAAGCGTTTTCAGTTGGTGCATTGGTGGAAGATATTAAAAGAGGAGCCCAAATGGTGTGCACTGTTTGAGGAAAAAGAGAAAGACAAGAATGAGATGCTTGATGTTCCAAAAGAACAGTCACGGCCTATTGGTAGAGAAGCAGCAAAGGCTGAGCGCAGTGGAAAGCGCAAGAAGGATAACATTATGGACGTAATTGTCATCCTTGGTGACAATATTGAAAAAATCATCAAGGTGCAGCAAGATCGAAAGGTGGAGTGCGAAAAGGTTACGGAAGCACAGCTTAAGATATCAAACGCAAATTTGAGAAACGAGGTTTTCCTGGTATGTTTGGCAGCATTGACTGCATGCATTGGCAATGGGAAAGATGCCCAAATGCATGGAAGGGTCAGTTCACTTGGGGTGATCAGAAAGTGCCGACGCTGATACTTGAGGCTGTGGCATCACATGATCTTTGGATTTGGCATGCGTTCTTTGGAGTAGCGGGTTCTAACAATGATATTAATGTTTTGAACCAGTCCACTGTCTTTATTAATGAGCTAAAAGGACAAGCTCCTAGAGTCCAGTACATGGTAAATGGAAATCAACACAACATTAGGTATTTTCTTGCTGATGGAATATACCCTAAATGGACAGTGTTTGTTAAGTCAATACGACTCCCTATCACTGACAAGGAGAAGTTGTATGCACAGGAACAAGAAGGGGCAAGAAAGGATATCGAAAGAGCCTTTGGTGTATTGCAGCAGCGATTTTGCATCTTAAAACGACCAGCTCGTCTATATGATCGAGCTGTACTCCGTGATGTCGTGCTAGCTTGCATCATACTTCACAATATGATAGTTGAAGATGAGAAGGAACAAGACATTATTGAAAAAAATCTAGATCTAAATATGCCTCCTAGTTCATCAACGGTTCAAGAACCGAAATTCTCTCCAGATCAGAATGTTCCGTTAGAGAGAGCTTTAGAAAAAGACACTTCTATTCGAGATAAATCGGCTCATCGCCGACTTAAGAATGATTTGGTTGAACATATTTGGAATAAGTTTGGTGGACGTGCACATATATCTGGTACTTGTGACTATCTTATGCATTAAGAATTGTAATATATTGTAGTTAGTTATAAAGCTTAAGAATTTAACTACTTCATCTGTGATCTGATCCTGCGCTGTTTTTTTGTGAAGCCTGAGAGCTCATGCTGAACATTTTTTTTTCTTTCTGTAGGCTGAAACCAAGGCTGAAGGCAAATCTGAAACCAAGGCTGAAGGCAATCTGATCCTGCAGTACTGAACGTATGGGGTGCAGAGAAGAACAAGTGAGACGCCGTGTGCAAGGCTGATGGCTATCTGAACTTTTTTTTATCTATATATCTTAGTTTACTATCTAAGTTTCAGTCGTATGCTCTAGTTATCTCTGAACAAGGTTGAATGCTGTTGTTCCGTTTGTCTGGCCGTGTGCAAGGCTGAAGGCTATATCTATATTAGTTTATCTGAAGAATGGTATGTTATCTGAATAATGGTGCTCCGTTTATCTGAGGCTGTTCCGTTTATCTAAACAATGGTAATGTTATCTCTGTGTGTCTGTGTGTGTCGATGGCTACACAGTTAATCGGTGCATATAATCCTTCATTCAACAGCAATTAAATGCTTTGCTTAATTTTGGAATTGGTGCAATGAAATCGTTGCACTGTGAAGGCTAGTTTCATTCATTGTTTCATCCCACTAAACCTGATGTGGCTTTTTGGAAACCGTGTAGTGAAACTAAACATTGAGACTGGCCTTATGCATTGTTTTTTCAATTTCAACGGCGTACATGCATGGCCCAACAGCACATTCAGTAGAAATTAAATACAATGTGCCTAATGAACTAGAATAGTCTGGTTCATTTGGCTGAAAGTATCGTTAGCTGATTTGTTGTGAGAGAAAAATATTGTTCATTGGCTGAAAAAGTACGGCTTATAAGCCAAGCAAACAGGGCGAAACTCTACTTCCGCAAGTCAGAACAGTGTTTTTCTCTCACAACAAACCAGCTGAAACAGTGTTTCAGCTTGTTTTTTCAGCGAAGCGAACGGAGCCATACACGGTTGTAACGGCCGGCGTGGCGCACGCGACAGAGGTCGCGAGTGGCAGCACGCAAGGCACATCTAAAAGGGTGTTTGATCCTGTGACTAAAATTTAGAAGGTGTCATATGATAATGTCAAAGGGGAGTTTGATATTAATAAAAAAACAAATTACATAATCCGTCAGTACTCCACGAGACGAATTTATTAAGCATAATTAATCAGGCATTAGCACATATTTACTGTAGCACAACATTGTCAAATCATGGACTAATTAGGCTTAAAAAATTCGTCTCACAAATTAGTCGTAAACTGTACAAAATAGTTTCGTAATTAGTTTATATTTAATACTTCATATATGTGTCTAAATATTCGATAGGACAGCGACTAAAATTTAGAAGGAGGAACCGAACGCCCCTAAATCTGCCTGATGGGCCGGGAAGGAGAAGGCCGCCCAGGAAATAATCGGCGTCACCACCCGAGACTCCGCGAAAGAGAGGAAGACAGAAATATCTGCAGCCTCCTTGCTGCGTTTTCGCTAATTAATTAGTCAGCATCACGTCGCAATCACAAGCAACATCGCAATCACAAGCAACAACTGAGCAAGCAACGAAAAAAAAGAAAAATCCTCTCCTATCCCCCAACCCCACGTCCCCACCCCAGCAGTAGTATTATAAATATACACTAGTGTACCTCAATTGGCGCAAGAAGAGGAGAGGGAGAGGAGAAGCGAAGCAAAGCAAAGCAAGCAGGCTTCAAGAACAAGGTACTGGATCGACAACTCCCATCTGCTTCCAGGATTTTGTTCTTGTTTGCTTACTCTACTGGGGCCTTGAGCTTGTTCTGATCTGATCCTCCCTTCCTGCTCAGCGCCCCCCGCCCACCCCACTTATTAGATTCCATCGGGTGTTCCTTTGTGCTGCTGCAGGGGAGGAGACCAGCGAAAGGGGAGCTAGATGAAGATGGGCGGCGGACTGCAGCAGCTGCTGCTACTGCTTGCACTCCTCCTCGTCTCTGCTGCCGCCCCTCAGGTCCGCATCCTGTTCCGCTCCCGTGTCTTTAGCTGCCCTTCTTGCTTGCTGTAAAATTGTGTAAATAAAACACTGCGAAGGCAATAACTGAACAGTAACATATAATCGACCAAAACCGAGCATGTTTAATTCTTCGCATGTGGGATGGGACCCAATCACAAGTTCCGGCCACAGATCTGCTTCTTCCAATGATCAATTTCCTATATTAATACTTAGAATCCTAAGATTTTGAAGTGGTCTACCACCACGTCACATTTTGACTAGCAACTTTTTTACGAAAAATATGGAGATTTTATTTTTAAGTAAAAGATGATTAAATATTATGGAGCTACTTTCATAATGAATAAAGCAACATCTATCTACTATCTTATATTGTCAAACTTCAGAATTTTGTATATATATTGATGGTCTCTGCTAGGAATCATATTTTGGTTGAAGGCACTGAAATCCCAAACCACACTTGCACTTTATCGAGCCTTATGTCTCCCTTCAAGATTGAACTCTCTGCAGCCTGCCTACTATTTCAAGACAACCGTGGGTGTGGGTCGGTGAAGGCATATAATCACATATGTCATATGTCTGCAGGTAGTTGGAGTTGGGGTCGGAGACAATTCCATGAGAATCATCCAGGTCTTTTTTAAGCTTCTTCTTATACCCTCAAATCAACCTAATTTTCTCTTGTTTCTACAATTACTCACGGTATACATGTCTACTGTCACAGGAGGATATCATTGAGACAGTCAACAACCATCCCAGCGCTGGGTGGACAGCCTCACGTAATCCTTACTTTTCAAACTATACCGTAAGTGGCAACACCTCCTGTTGATTGCATCCATACTGACAAAAGCATCATCTATCTTGTCTTACTTCAGTGACCTCAAAACTATCCTTTTGCCTTTTCGGTTGCAGATTATGCAATTTAAGCACATACTTGGGTGAAACCAGCACCAAAGAATGTACTAAGCGACGTTCCTGTCAAAACTTATTCAAGATCACTGGAACTTCCAAAAGAGTTTGACGCTAGATCTGCATGGTCTCGTTGCAGCACAATTGGGACCATACTTGGTAGGTTTATTTGGTTAAAACTCAGTGCATTTCAGCTGTATATCAATTTTAGTTGCCTGACGGATACTCATTTCTTGTATGAATTTTTCAATCCTGGATAATCCTGGTCTTCGTGAGCAGATCAAGTAAGTTCAATGGTCTACCATATATTATTAGCGCCTAAAAAAGAATGACGCAACATGCTTACAGTTACAGTATAATGTTTTGTCTGATGATAACAGGGTCATTGTGGCTCTTGTTGGGCTTTTGGTGCTGTGGAGTGCCTCCAGGACCGTTTTGCATTCACTTCAACACGGCGAGTGGATACCTGACCTTGCTGTTCTCGTAGTCTTTTTAACAAGAGATTATAAAGGCATGCTTTGTTCTTTTCTCACATAACCAAGTTATTGTTCTTTTCCTTGCAGAGCATTTTACTTTCAGTCAATGACCTACTGGCATGCTGTGGTTTTTATGTGCGGCGATGGGTGTGATGGAGGCTATCCTATAATGGCATGGCGCTACTTTGTTCAAAATGGTGTTGTTACTGATGAGGTATAGGTCTATTGGTGTATTTTCTACTTTCCATCGCTTGAATTTCTCTGTATGCATCAGCAGCAATCCTACTACTTCTAAGAGTTGTATGATCCTACATCAAACAAGTGATATACTGCATATATCAAACTGGTTTTGTGGAAACTGAATGGCACATGAATTACTAACACAAGATGTGTTGAGTTAGTTTATGCAGCACTGACTTCATTTTGCTAAATGCTATAATGATTAATTAGAGTGTAAATTTGAACCACCTTAACTCTTTTCCCCAATGGAACCTAGTGTTAGTACGAGCAAATCATAATCTTCAGCTATTTCTGTATGGTTGTAATAGTTATCCCAACATGGTATAAATACACCATTACACTCTAATGAGTTGATCTCAACACTTGGTTTGAGGCAGACCATGATAGTGCCTTTATTTACAGTTTGCAAAATATGTTGATCTCTTTTTGTATTCAGAGCATAGCTGATGACCATCATGAAAATTTTCATCATGGTATACAAAGGTAAGGTTAACTTTGCTCTGTGTTGCAGTGTGATCCATACTTCGATCAGGTCGGTTGCAAGCATCCTGGATGTGAACCTGCTTATGCTACACCTAAGTGTGAAAAGAAATGCAAGGAGCAGAACCAAGTTTGGCAGGAAAAGAAGCATTTCAGCATTGATGCGTATAGAATAAATTCAGATCCACATGACATAATGGCAGAGATCTACAAAAATGGTCCTGTAGAAGTTGCTTTCACAGTTTACGAGGTAATGTCCAGTTGCTTTGTCTCAAGCTCTCCATGCATTTTGTCAACAAATTTTGTGTAGCTGAGACAAGGACTATGGGGTGCAGATACTTTTAGAGGACAAACATTGCATACAAAAACTTAAAAAGACTGTTGTCTAACTAAAAGGTTGGTAAGGACATGACAAAAGCCAAATAACAAATCTAGTATATAGAGTAATATGCTTTGGGATCATTCATAGTCTTAGAAAATATATCATTTGAGCGGAAAAAAAAAACTGGTATTCATATGCACTTTATTTTTTCTGATTTGGCAATGAAAAATCTGTCAAGGATTTCGCACACTACAAATCTGGAGTATACAAGCACATCACCGGTGGCATTATGGGTGGCCATGCCGTCAAGTTGATTGGATGGGGAACCAGTGATGCTGGAGAGGATTACTGGGTATGTTGTTTAATCTCTGTATTTTATTCTGTACATTATCAAATGATGAGGCCCTAAGTTATTTTGTATGATCTTCTTGTCTTTGCAGCTTCTTGCAAATCAGTGGAACAGGGGCTGGGGCGATGTAAGTTTGTGACAAATATCCAACTTATCAAAATAACAGTGATTCCTTGAAACTTAGTATCATGTTTTCAACAATTAATAACTTCTATTGGGTAATACTTTCCAGGATGGATACTTTAAGATCATAAGGGGCAAAAATGAATGTGGCATCGAGGAGGACGTTGTTGCTGGAATGCCATCTACAAAGAATATGATTCCAAACTTCGGCGGTGCTGTTGGAACAGCTGTAGTTTAATAAATTACGTTTGGCATCGAAGGCTATTGGAATTAACTAAAGTATTTTTAAAATGGAATTGTTAAAGAGCCACGATGGTGTATGTATTTTGTACACTGGCTCATTCCAAAGGTCGTTATGTTGCTGATGTGACATCACTTTGTTCAGATATAAATGGAATAATATGGTTTCTAGTCCAACCAAATTTGTACTCTGGCCACCAAGCCTTCTAAAAATCTCTCTTGTAAAATGAAGGAAATCAAGTGGAGGGAGCGTACACTCCAATGTCTGCAATCAGTTCATTTTGCACTATTCCAAAAGAATTGCTCGTGTTGCTTGCTTTAATCTAGATATATGTAGTCATCTAAGTGAAGAGCATTTCAAGATTGCTAATGTATAGCAACTTAGAAAGTGCACAATCAGATGCATCCACAGACATCATCAAGCTCCTGCATAATTGAGTGCAAATAGCCAAATACAGGTCTTTTCAATTCTGTGATAATAATAACGGCCATGGAATCACATCCATCATCATCATTGCTTGCTTGGAACATTAGCAGCAGCTACCATGGATTACATAACACCACCAGGCACATCATTACATGTACTTCCACACAAGTATGTAGTTCCAGTTGTCTCATGCCAACACATGCTACATGACATTTCATCAATGGATCACGGTGCTGCGGGGGGTATAATGGATGCTTCCTCAGCAACCACACAAGGAACCTCCAACTGCTGCTGCGGTGCTCCTGCTGCGATATCTGTCTCTGTAGCCCGACTTTGAGGAATCGAAGTAACATTCAGCTCCACAAGCCTTTCGACAGGGACCTTGACAACATCACGCCGAACACCAATATCCGATACATATCGCCCGACACAATACATGCCGCTGGTCACAATTGCCAGGCCACCAGCACTAGTTGTCAGGAAACGCAATGGCGACGAGGCCACAGCACTGAAGGCAGCAGTCAGAGATGCAAGCTGCCCACTACGGCCAACACTGAAAGCAGTCTCCACAAGCAGCCCAGTCTTGCAGTATATGGCAAAGTCCTCGCAGTTGTTCTTGAACAGGGAGTACATGCCAAACCCATTGTCCAGGAGGTATCGTGCACGGTGGATCACAACATCACTGGGGTCAGAGGAAGCCAGGGTGCAGGTTCCTCCGCGTGCTTTGGCAAGGAAGAAAGCAGGTGACACAGCATAGTCAAAGAGGTACAGGCTGCCCCCATCTAAGAAGCAATCGAGGCAAGAAGTGATGACCCCATCAGACTTGACTAGGTGGCCACATTTCTGGCAGGGAGGACCCTCAGTTGCTGCCGGAGAGGAGCTATAAAGGAACCAATCCAAGAATGTTCCTGTTCCAATCTCATGTCCAGCTGCCCTTGTAAAATGGATGACCATGCCATCTCCAGCATATATCCCTGATAATGTACCACAAAGCTCAGATTAAACTCAGTCACCTACTATGAGCAAAACAAGTGCACAAGTCTGACAGAGGGTTATGTTCACACCATTCTTTTAAGAACATGAGGGGTTGCTATGTTCCAACTTATTGTCTGGTTATGCCAGGATAGATCTATGGTCAGTCTAATGACACTATTATGAAATATGTATTTATGGGTGGAGAAGACTTGGCTCTATGAAATTGTGAATGGCATAATACACAAACATATGGCTTCCATGAATTTCAGTTGCGATTATATTCATTACTAAAGGAATGTTCAAGCTCACAGACGACTAGACCTTTTTCGTCAATGGACTCCTGAAACTTCACAAATGTATAACTCCCAAAAATATCAATTGCACTTATATTCATCATTGAAGGATTCGAGTTCAAGCTTTCCCATGCCTTTTTCATCAACGGCCTCCTACCAAGGCTTTCGTTTTACTCAAGTTTATCATGACATTTTTGTTCAAACAACAATTATGGTGAAAATTACCAAAAAAATCATTCTGGTGAAGCAGGGTGATGAACAAAGAATCTCCTAATTAGAAGAATGGAATGCTTTGATAGACAGCAAGCAAAAAAGGAGAAATTTCTAAAATTGACATCCGATTCGTGATTCTCGCAAAGGTTTCATTTATGCCCCAACACTAAGCCACCACACCAAAAGTTGCTATTGTTACTTTTGCGTGCAAGGCAGTGATGTTTGGGCATCAGTAATGTTAGCCTATGTATGTAAGTCAATGGATTTAGTAGTTATTACTCACTTGATTAGGGTTCGAAATGAGATCCAAATCTAGTGGCGCTTCGATTTGATACCAAACCAATGAAAGGAAATAACAGGGGAAGCGTACCGTGGTGGGCGTAGATGTAGGCGGCCCGCCAAGTGTAGATGTGATCCCCGGCCTTGAGGTCGTCCCGATCCACGCGATTCGACAGCACCCCTGCCATCCCTCGACCTCCGACGACGATAAGAACACCGGCAATGGCTCCCCTCCTGCTCCGCCCCAAATCTGAATTCAATCTGATTGGTCCCTGTTCTTAATCACGCGCAATCTCGTGCATGACTATGGAGGTAGAGAGGATTGGAACCAATCGATGAAGCATCAGATTCGGGGTAGGGGGAGACGGCGACGCTTGCCTTGGTTGGCTGCTCGTGGTGGCGTGCTTAGCGGCGAAGGAAGAATACCTTCGGGTCTCGCCTCCCAGCTCCGCTGCGTGGGTGCGGAGGATCGGGAACGAAAAGGACTGAAGGCAAGCAAGCATAACATTTTTTCTGTTTCCTTTTTTCATTCAAGCTCCTGTCCCAAACGAAGTTGTCCTAAGTCATGTACTACCATATTTAAACTTTCACTCTATGCCAACTCAAGTATCTCGAAAAAACGAGTTTATAGAAAAAATATATTAGTGTCTATCATATTTAAAAAGTAATTATGGATATCAAATAGGTAATTAAAAACTATATTTCAGAATATATCTAATGATGCTATTTTAACATCTGTATAAATATTATAATTATTTTGTATAAAATTAATCAAACTTACGTAACATAGAAGATGGACGTTATGGTGTTATTGACACCTTAAAAATCCAGGAAGTCTATTAATACATAAAAATGTTTAGACCCCCTTTGTACGGCTCCGTTCGGCTTGCTGAAACTTGGCTGAATTGGCTGGGAAACACTGTTCTGGCTGAATTGTTGTAAGAGAAAAACACTGTTCCGATTGAAAAAACAAGCTGAATAGTGCGGGTTATAAGATAAGCCGAACGAGGCCTACATAGGATTTGTGAAGGAGTTAGATCCTAAATCTATAGACTTTTTTTATGTGACTGTTTAGAACAAGGGATTGGTCATCCTAAATCCCACGAAATCTCCGGGATGTCTATCTCCTACTTGGGCTCTTTTTCGGATTTCAGCTTCAAAGACATCTCATTTGGCAGTTGCGCAATTTGTACGCCACCTTGTGTCATTTGCATGATGCTATTTTTTGAGTTTTTTCTTTCTTTTCAAGGACGGAAAAAGTTTTGTCGCGAGATTTATTAAAAGAAGAGGGAAAAACAAAGAGTCAAGGACCCTAGAAGTAGGGGGTGCACCATACTTCCCCCTCAGAGCAATTACTACATCCATTTTATTTTATAAGACGCGGCTCAACATGACATTTTATGTATGTGTATTGTATTATCTATGTTTTATAATTATGATAATTGGATAGGATATTTAATTACAAACCTAATGATGTTGAGTCTGTACAATAGTAGTTAAAATTGTTAGCTAAATTATTCGTCAAAAAATTATAAAGTTTGACTATTGATATGCGTGTGTACACGTCTTATAAAAGTTTACGGAGATTATAGAGGTAGTACGATACAACAAAACGGGAAAACCTACTTCTACACACTGCTGAAGGCAACACTAGGTTAGCAAGAAATAACGACAAAAGACAACCAACTAGCAGTTCGACACACTCAATAGAAAACTTGACTAAAGACGTTCCAAAAAAAAAAAGGTGCGCAAAACACAACTAGAAAACCACCAGGGCTAGCCCAAAAAAGAGAGGAAAATACATCCTCTTCGACAAAGCCCAGATAGCCCATAAGAATGAGGCCTGCAAGCCCAGCCCCACCCGACAATCACCCTAACAGAGGCCGCGCACGCCGGCGACCCTCCTCCGTTCGACCTCGCACGCCGGCGACCCTAACAGAGGCCAGGCACGCCGGCTGAGTCTGAGTCCAGAATCCCGATTCGACGACGACCGACTCCCGAGCGCCATTCCCGGCTGCGGCGCCGACGACCCTCCACCTCCGATGTTCGACCTCGCCTCGTCATCCTCCGCGACGGGTACCACTGCTACTGGGCCATCCGCATCGGGTTCCTGCCGCGGCCACGGTAGCCAGTACTCCGTAGGCAGTAGCTGGCGTCCCGACGCAGCAACTACTGCAAATTAAAGTGAGAATCAGCCAGTTGGTGTGTATTGCTTACTCCTTGTGATTGTATCAATGTATCCTGTTTTGATGAATGTCGATTATTAGTTTTCAGTAATTGCGTTGCAACATTTCATAGCACATACAGCATCGCCAATGCTCGCGTAGAAGTGGAGTGGAGCCCTTTGTTATCGCATAATTGCGCTTCCGCTTCCGGCGAGCACGCGGCAGCCTCTAATGGCGTTGAACACGATGATTGCCGCCACCCGTAATGATGTGCCGGCAGGCGAGACGTCGAGTCGAGTCGAGTGCTCTTGCCGGTCCACCCAGAAGGTGTCCAGTCCAGATTCCATTTCGTTCGTCACTGGGGGCGTGTTTGTGTGTGCGTGGTTGAGGCCGGCTCGGCCCGTCCGTCAGGCCCAGGCCAGTCCCAAGCGGTGTAACTGCTCTTGTTTGGAATATGACCCAGCAGAGCTAAGCCCGATTGGCATCGTGTTTGATTTGCCTGTACAGATGGATACGGTGACCCTGGACTCAGAACGTGGTAACATTACCCCCACACGTTGTCAATGCCATTTCATCGAACACGTGCAGCGCGAGCGGCATGGACTCACCCACCTCGCCCAAGAAGCCGCCGCCGCCGCCGCTGCCC